TTTCTGCACATAATATGCAACTTAAGTTGATCGATAAAATCGATATTGCACAGAATATGCGTAAACTAATTGTGCGTATTGCGTAAAATTAATATCTGCGTAGCTAATCGCATCGATCGGCGATTCTCTCTACCCAACCACGATATCGATTACTGTTGTTGTTGCTTTAGGTCTGTTTATCTTTAAGGAAAACTTGTTGCGCTACTGTGCACTCCCTAGTTTGGAAGTTCTTTGAAAGTTGAACAAACTTTTCAACTAATTTTGTTCCTCAAAGATTCGGCTCCTTAAGTTCCTCTGATATATCATAAAGTATAAAGTTGGCAAATTTTTTATAAGGTTACGTAAATATAAATCAAAATCCGTCACGTGTTATGACCGTTTGAAATTTGTCCGATTATAAATGAAAAGTCGTGTATAAATAAAGACACACATTTAAAAGTCGCATATAAAATAGTCACTCTGATCAAACTGAAAATGTAAACTTCAATGTACATAAATGTAAATGAATGCGTAACTTTCTATCGCCGAACTATTCAACATTGAAACAAATGATATTCTTCTGGTGTTCGCAAGAAATAAACAGAATAATTCAACCTATGAATAAAAAGTCTAACTGTTCCATTTATCCCTCGTATTCTTTATGTACACCGCTTTATATCGAAGCTTTGCGATGTTAAAGATCAACTGAGAAGTGAGGTTAAATACTGAGCAATTGTCACTCATCATTTAACGACATATGTCGCAGCAATAAACGAAATAGTGTTGTGAATTTGGTGTACCTGATAAACAGACGCTTCAAGCTGCAAAATACTGTTAGCGATATTCTTCATTATTCCGTATTTATTTCGTATATTTCTTGATAAGAGCACAAAGTACCAGTCCAACCTGCCGCTAAATTTGAAAAGGAAAGGGCGCCTATATCGTTACATTGCATTACTTGCTCGATTTTTCATTCAAGTCAGTGGCGGCTCGTAGCGGAGACTTTAGAAGTAATGAAAGGAAATAATAACGAGTCAAAATAGTTTAGACCCATTAAAAGTTTCGACTGTATGACCTACCCGGCGTCATCTGATCTTTCTCCTTAGAACTACATTGCTGTTAACCCGTTATCAACAAGTCCATTCAGTTAAACCCGTTATAGCTACTTCTTTGGCGTCAGAGAGGAACGTGAGAGCGGCCAACACGGCGTTTTCGGCGACACCGACTTTTCGCACTGGGAAAGGGCGCCATCTGCATCCATTTTGAGAGGGGAACTACGATGCTACATCCACTTTCAGGTTTCGCCGGTAAAACCTGCATATGGTGGCAGTCCGTGCTACATCCATTTTCAGGTAGTTTATGTCCGTGCTACAACCGTAATAGCGTTGACAAACTTGACAAACACGGTCTCGTACATTGTTACGTGTTTATAACATGAATTAACATGTTAACATGTGCAAAAAAAAAAAGAATTGACATTGTGTATGATTAATATCATGAAGGTCATACGAAGTGTAATTAGCTGCCAACCCGAAGTGTGAGGGTAGATTGGATTGAGACAAACATAAAAGTCCCATACCGTTTTGCGAGATTTGCAATAATTATCGAGTTATTAATGATAGAAATCTGAGGAGTAGGAGCGCGCAACGCGGAATGAGCTTCATTACTATAGACGCGACGAGGCCCTAACGAGGCAAGTTCGCTTATAACCAGCGTTTATGTCAAGAGCGCTTTTCGGGAACATTCCGCTCGAGGGGTTAGTCCGCGATAGATAGTTTCCTGCGACTGGAGGTTGCTGTGGTTTAAAGTTAAATTGCAGCAAGAGCATTGTTATCGGGCAGCCCTGAGACGGGCTGCTGTCATCCGTCCGTGACGTCTGCCGCTCGCCTTTGCGATTATCGGCAAATTCAGTTTCCTCGATTGTTCGCGCGGCCATTCAAGTGGCCATGCCACCAGTCATGCAAAGCTGACTTGGAGCTCTTGAAATGACACCAAGAAGCGCAGACAACAGTTGTGTGCTCTCGAAAATACTCTTTTACGAATGGACATTTAAATTTAGATCCCGTAACGAGAGTAAACAGACTTGAAAGAAGACCGAAAACAACAAAGGTCGCAGTCTAAGGAGCGATATGACGTTAATTCTACACAAGACCGGTATGCTCACACAGTTGAGAATTATTCAGAATATTTGATTGAGAACATGATGAATTAGAGATCCGCGTTCATGGACCGTTATCCGTCTCTGTCTGGATCAATATCTCTTGTATATAACAACGCAACAAATAGATAGAGAGACAAAGACGTTTGACGAAAGTAATTGCAGACTCATAAAGTCATGATTACTAGTCGGATTACTAGTCGGATGATGATGACGGATCGTGAATTCCGAGCGCGAAATTCCGACTTCGTATTCCTGGAAAATTCGTCAAATGTCCGCTCTCGTTATCGGAGACCACCCGCATAATAAATGATTCCCCATGCCTGGAAACGTGACATATCGCTGCCGGCGTCCTGCTGGAGTCCTCCGGATTTCACTCGCTCACGCTTCTAATGCCGATACTCGCGATTCGACCGCGATGCGGTTAATCAACGCGATGCCGATTGAATATCTCGAAGACCGACGAGATACGTTTCTTTCAATTACACGAGACGGAAGTGACGATCGAGTCCCGCACGGCTGCTGCTGATGGAATGAGGTCGAATACACGAAGTGCGCGAGTATTATAATACGAAGGGCAAAAAGTGTCGTCGCTCGCGAGCCGATCAACACAATCGGCGCGATGTAATAAACATTGCGGGCCTCGGCGGCGGTTACAACAAGAGAGACTTGTCTTTGGGCGTCTCTTCTTTTCTCGGAGGTTCCGGAACGACGAGGGGAACTTTCCGGCGAGGAGGCCTTTCAATTGTACGCGACATTGATTTACTATTTATTGATTATTAAAAATAAAGAAAATTATTCTGTCGAAGCATCGGATATTTGTTAGTTTTATGTTAATTAAAGAGAAATGTGTACGATTAGAAAATGTGTTAGCAACTAATTGTACAGAGTGTCAAAATTATTGCGACGCAGTTTTCGGAGAATAATTAAAGGTCATGGTAGCGTTAAAGAGTTTGAAGAGAATGGAATTTCATCCCATGCGAATTTTGTCTCGTTCTTATTAAATGTTAGTCCTGTATAAAACGTCGTATTTAAAAGTATTGTTTCGCGAGATGCACAAGATTTCGTCGTGAATTCTGCTTTGCGGGAATCTCAGATTGGATCGCGGGCCAATACTTTTCAGTGCGACGGGGAATAGAACGTGAAAATCTTGTATGCTTCTGAATCCGAAAACAATTAGGAGAAGAAGTGAATACTTTTCAATGCGAAAGTTCGCATTTGAAAATTATCGATTGCGATTGAACACAAGGCATATTTGAAATGAATTGAATCCTTTTTAATACGAAGCATTCACCACTCTCTCGTCTTGCATTTAGCGCGGTGAAATTTAATGGGAACTAATACTTTTCAGTCCCTTTCTTCGGATCAGAAAGCAGAATTCCGATTTTCAAAGTATTCAAAATGTCAATACTTTTTCATATGTTTCAGTTCGACATTTTATACAGGGAGATTATCCGCTGCGGACAATAACTCTTCTACTTTTCATCTAATATTCAATGATGATAAATAACATTTAATTGCGTTCGTTTGACTTTTTTTTTTTATTTCGAAAATAAAAAAATTATATATATACCAGGGTGAGATTTCACCCATGACAACATCAAGGTGATTTTCTTTGATGCTTTTTCTAAAAGTTCAAATATTTCGTCGACTCGCGGGATATTTATAATCGGAGTCTCGTCGCGTTAATTAACACGTGTTCCTCCGAGCGGATCGAATGCTCACCGACGGCCGCTGTCAGTGCCACGAGCGAATGTCCGGAGCGGACGGGATGCTGAATTGAGAAGCAGGACGAAGGGAACGGGACGCGGGCAACGATATATCATGCGTCTCCAGACATGTCAAATCGTTTATTATAGAGGAGACTTTGATACGGCAACATGTATTCGAAGATTTAACATTTAATACGTACTTTTATTTTTTCCGCTCCTCCCCTCTCTCCCTTCCCCGCTCTCTTTAGACCTCCGGGCATAGTCTGGTATAGAGATGGCAAGAGATAGATGGTGGTTGCAGCACGGACATAAACCGCCTGAAAATGGATGTAACACCGACTTCCACCACATGCAGATTTTACCACCGAGACCTGAAAGTGGATGTAGCATCGTAGTTCCCCTCTCAAAATGGATGCAGATGGCCTCCTTGCCCAGTGCGGAAAGTCGGTGTCGCAGAAAATGTCGTGTTGGCCGCTCGCAGGTTTCTCTCTGGTCGGACAAGCTTTGTGATTAGCTAATGGAGCCTTGTGACGTTATTAATCGATTTTGGCTCGACTCGAATATATTATAGTATGTGAAAAGTATGTAAAATTTAATGGACCACAATTTTGATAAAAATTATAATCATGATATGTTGCAGGAATCATCTTGCAGCTTAAAATGTTTGATTTTATGTTCAATTTATAAAATCTTATTGCCATTTTATTGGCTGCACATCATCTTAAAATGTTAGAAAGCATTCATTATGTGCATTCAATTGGTCTGTTCTTTTTAGCTGAACTACTGAACTGGTGCAAGAAGTTAAAGTGAGACAAAATATAGCTGTCTCATTCTAACTTATTGCACTAGTTCCGCAGTGCAGCTGAAAAGAACAGACCAAATATTACAACCGCTTACAAAACTCGTAACGAACTCTTGGATTTTGTTGGTGCATACTTTCAGATTTAATTAAAATCTAAAAATATGAACCAATTAAATCTAAAGCTTGCTGAATACTAAGTGAATAATGTTTGTATTGGTTGAAAGAGCCAAGGATCTGTTCTTTTTAGCTACACTGCTAAACCGGCGCAATAAGGCAGCATCCAATCAGAAATTGGAGCTAAAAAGAACAGACCACAAATTCTTATTTGTAGTATGGTGAGTTTCTTCAGCAATTTTGCTAGCTACACTACGGCGTACAGCAACGAGCAGCTGGTAGTTGCAATATGTCTGTTATAAACAAAATCGATCATTACCAGCGAAATATAGAGAAATGTGGCGATAATTTGGATCGAGTATGTATATTTAATGTTTATAATGTTAAAGTACTCGTACGCGGTAATTCTTGTAAATTAATTAACTGTAGACGATATAACCTCGACATCATCAGCTTTAAATCGTTCGAACGATTTCGATTTTTATATCGATATCGCTTCTATCCAAAATTCACTGTCATCTGAATTCATTATTACGTGTAATTCTTTCTAGATACTGCATTGCATTACAAAGTTGTACAATCTACCTGTAACGGTACAGCATCTTCAAGAGACTGGAGTAGGAAGAACTGTGAATGGTTTAAGAAAGTATGATGGTGCAGTAGGTGATGCTGCCAAAGCTTTAGTAGCAAAATGGAAGGCAATGGTAGTAGATGAATATTCCAGCGGAGAAGACGAAGATGAAGGTTGTGTAACAACTGAAAATTGTACCGACAACTACGATTCACTGAAAATAGAAGAAACAGAAGAAACTGCAGAGAACATTGTGGACGAAGCACAAGAAATGAAACGTATATATGAAGACAGTAAGAGTGAAATGTCTGTAGAGCAAAGTATAAAACATATGTCCAAATTAAAAGAACAAAGCCCAAAGGATCTGGAGGACAAGAGCAGAAGACATGAGAAAAATAGTCATTCTTCTCATGAGAAAAATAAACATTCACAGATTGAGATGAAATCCAAAGAATCCAGGAGCAGCAAGAGTAGTTCAAGAAAGGATGAAACTCATAAATCTAAAGAGCATAATCACAGCAAGAATGATCTAGAGAAAGCAAGTGACAAATTGACAAAAAATAGCACCAGTGGCACTGGTAGCGAGAGCATTGGCGCAAGGAGAACTCTTGACTCAAGTTCCTTGAAGAGAGAAAGCAAAAGAACCAAACTGTCTGATATTAAAAGTAACGATGAGACACCACAGTTATTTATTTCAGAAAAAAATCATTCTTCGATAAAATTTTCCGAAATTAAGATAAAGGTAGAGAGTGATAAGGACAAATCAAATGTTAAACAGGAAAAGGAAAAGAGAAGCTTTCAAGAGGAATCAAAGAGCAGTTCCAGTAAGCTCAAGTTGCAAGATTCGAGTAATAAAGTAAAGGACAACAGTGAAAGACATAAACATAAAAAAGAGTCTATAGATCATAAAAAGCTTGATACAAAAAGGGATTCCAATCATCATTCCAGCAAGGAAATATCCGAATTGAAAGTTTCTTCTAGCAGTAAGGATCATGTCAAAAGCAAGGACAAAGACAAAAAACGAGAACACAAAGAGGATAAAAGTAACCATGGAAAAAAGAAAGAAATGAAAATGCGTTTATCACAGGAGATAACCAGTAATGAAGGAATAGATTGCAATTCTGGTTAGTGTAGACAACTAAAGTGTATTAATAACATTGTATAAATTAACAGAGTTAATACTATTATAAAGTAGTACTAACTTATTTTTATTGTCATGAAGTAAAATCTATTTTTTATAAATTTTACATTCCACATTTTGATAAATAAATTTTTTTATCCTTGAACATGTCTGCAGAGTTTGACTTCATACGATATTATTAATATTATTAAACATGGGTAAATAAATAAAATTTTCAGTCAATTTAATACATCATATGTATATATATATGTATCGTGTATATATATATCATATATATATATAGATCCTGTTATATTAATACCTTTCAGTGTATATATAACCTTTTATATTAATTAAAATTCCTAAGCAATGAATATGTTATGATAAAGATATAAAGTATTTCTGATATTGTTTTTCTGCTTAGGTGCAAGTTTTGCAGAAGCACTAGGCATGTGCACCATGCCTCAACCGTCGAGGAAACGTAATTATAGTTCCTCTAATCATTCACGTAAGGCAATTAAAACAGAAATAACGTCGCCTCCGAGTAAGAAAAAGCAGCCACCAGTAAAAATCGAGCCAGATTGCAACGACGATCCAAATGTAATTTACATCTCATTGTTTAATATCTCTTGGCAGGAAGAATAACTTAAATGACTAGGATTATTCGAGAATTATCTCATATGCTCTCATACGCTCTCATATCTCATATAACATATGCAGTGATAAAGAAATCATGTGATTTTTCATAGCCACCGTCTCTCTTGGCGTCGAACGTGAAGCTGGAACCACTTAATGTAGACTTAGCATCCACATTACCTGAAATCAGCCCTAATTACAAACCACTACCACACATCAATCCTATACAGCGCAAAGAAGAAGCAAAGTTTGTCGATGACGTTATTCACGTAAAAAATCAAAGGTTATCTTCCCTTTCTTTTTCTAGCAGCGCACAAACCCGTACTTTCGCTGTATCGCTTACCTTATAACATGAATCTTTACTCACAGGACAAAAGTGTACTCTGGTAACAAGGTCGGTTACACGAGTGTGCCATCGTTGTGCGAATTGAGCATGAGAGTGTTGATTGAAAATATTGATGGTAAGTGCGTTTCTTTGCCGTAATTGCCCAAAAGCACATTAACATATCAGGATTTTATATAAATATTTTTACTGCCATCAGCTCTCGAGTTTACCGGTGGTGTACCGTACGACATAATAAAGCCAGTCTTGGAACGTGCCACGCCCGATCAGTTATTTACGCTGGAACACTATAATCCATATCTCATAGAGGATACGGGCACGCTGTGGCAGTTCCACTGTAATCGTGAGTTCAGGAACAAGCAAAGGCAGGAAATGGAGTCGTGGCGTGAGATGTATATGGTGAGTAAATTGCGAATTCAAGGCAAAGTCAAGGTAGTAGAATAAAAAAGATAATGTTCATGATACTCAATCCGAGCTATTCTCATACTAATTAACGTCACCGTTATCTTGTGTAGCGTTGCTTAGACGAGAGAGAAGCGAAACTGAAGACATTAACTGCCAACATCAAGCAATCCATCGACAAGTCTGTCCCAGTGAGATCTGCCAAACTTGCATATGTGGACAATGTCGTGAAGCCACCGCGAAATGTGCTGAAGAAACAGGCGAAATATGGCACGGCTAATGATACGCCTGCCACGGTATCGAGCCTTAAGAAAAAGTTAGTTGGCGGTGGTGGAACTAATAACGCGACAAACATCGCGGTGCCACCACCGCCGATGTCACGCTTTAAAACGTCAAGTGAGTGTTTGGTACCTTATTGTCGAGCAATTTGAAGTTTTCGTTTCAGTCTTCTCTGATCTCTAATCGATATACAATTATTTTGCTTTCAGCATCAACCAACGTGAAGAAGACTAAAGCACCGCTCATGGCGAAGGCATTGCAGTTGATAAAAGGACGTTACAAACGGTAGTTGTACGAACATTGCATATTATTGATCGTATTCAATTTCAGTAGGTAATTAGATCGTACATACATTCATCATCACCTCACGATTATATCGATTATTCCATTGTGGTTTCCACGTTTCCACGACCATCGATTTCATTTGCATACTTTTTGCATAATATCGTTCTTTTCTCCTGCCTGTTTTTTTAAATACTTGTGTTCAGCGAATCATGATAGGAAATGTCCGATAATCGTATATAACAAATAGATTGTACAGAGAAATTTATTTCGCTTATTATTCTGGAACGTAATATATAAAAGGAGCATGAATAGAGTTTCCAGTATTCGTGACAACTTTTTTTTTTTTTTTTAGTAAAGGTAGAAAAATTATTTATACCGTGCGCTCAGCTCAAAGATCTTACCACTAACGAATTCCTAGGTGAATTTAAAGAAAAGATTACCGTATATTCTATTTGAATTTTTGAAAGTGTATTTTTTCGATTCCATCCACACATTGAATGCCCCATGCCGCACGTAGGAATGTAAACTTCGTCAGGTCGGAACTTTTTGATTGTGGCTGTATACAGAGTCAGATTACTTAATACATTGCCAACCGCAGAGGTATACCCGATTAAGCAAGATTACTTGGTAAAATCATTGCTAACTAAATAAATAAAATCGTTAAAACGGATAACAAGGAAGACTGCGGAAACTCGTGTGTCACAATGTGACACTCAGCGTATTAAGTTAGGCAGTACATTTTAAATTTTTACGTACACATCATTAAGTGCATCCATCTTTGGACTGTGTGGATACACATGCTCTTGAATTTTAATCATTAGGTTCTCGATTGTATATTTTTGGGACTGTTTTAACAACATTGCTATGAGTCAAATATCGATACGAAATAAACACAGAAATGTATTCTGTGCTTTAGACGTTGCTGTGATTTTTTCGACGTTTTTAGATGCAGTTTTAATGCGTATATTGTAAATATTATGTTAGCATGAAACATAGTGAATAGATAATTAATCGATCTATTCTCACTTGTAAGAATATATTTGGAACTATTCCTCACCGATTTTCATGAGGTTTGGATATGTTATAGAGTAGTCAAAAATACAGATACATTTTTTTTTTTTCCTTTTAAACGATTTCGAAGCACGTTTAGAGGTATTGAATATAGTCGTACAGTGATTGTATTTTTCAACTGGTACAGTTTATTTCAGGTGGTACAGTTAACAAAAAAGCATATTCTGCAGATTTTGATTTAGTTTCTTGAATGATATTCCGGCAATAGTTCCAGTCGACGAATCCAATAATAAAACCGCTTCCGAAACGACGTTTGGAAAATATATTTCTTTCAGCTAAATTGTAAAATAATTCAAAAATTTTTGCTTGTTAGATCAAATATATAAAATTTCTTTCTCTTTCGAGAGATCATTTCAACCCCTGTAAAAATACTTTGAAGCCGGTAAAAAAAGATACGTGTCCGTTATTTTTGGCTATTCTACAACATATTCAAGTCCATGAAAATCAATGAGGGACAATCCCAAACGTATTTTTTTTTTTTTTATTAGATTATGCAATCAACTGTAATGTAAAAGATCTTTAACATTATAATCAATGTCGATTAAAAGTTTAATTAAAAAAGATAAATATACAGGATATCTCGTTTATTTACATCACGATATAAATAATTCAATCAACATTGAATGTAAACAAGATATCAATTTAAATTAAAATCTTTTTTTTATTAATTTGCTAGAGAAAAAAGTTACTACATATATATGCTATAATATAATATAATTATTATGTATGTAATTACCGATAAACGAGATATTCTACATTTGTAAGATTAATAATTTGCCTGATCAAACTAAAATTTTACATCATCTAATCTATTTATCTAATCTTATTATCACATGTTTTGCGCCAAATACAAATGCGTAGTATCAAAGATATGTGATATGAAAAATAATCGGGCACTATTTTTTGTGCTAGTTGAAAATCATATTAAAAACTTGAAACATTTATAATGAGAAATTTATAATATATGAAATATATTTAAAATATATTATTTGTGTGTGGCAAATATTTATTATGTAAAACTATATATATATATATATATGTGTGTGTGTGTATATATATATAGTATTAGCTATACATTAATATTGTGTGTTGTATTGAGTAATTTTATAACAATTAAGTAAAAAAATTTTTGTTGTAAACTGAAGAAACATTATAACAAGTAAAGCTTCATAAATCTGTTTCTTTAACACAGTGAAGATCATGTTGGATTCGAGTATAAATTTCAGTAAAACAGAATTTCTTGGCGCCACGCACTATTATATACAGAATCGGATTATTTAAAACATTGTCAATCATACGAGTTGCAATTCGACTAGATAAAATATTTAGTAAAGTAATTCTTAATCGGGTAAATAAACCATCATCCGCAAGCGTCATTGAGCGATAAGATTCTTACGGAAACTCACGCGTTATGCAAATATGAATGATGTGGCACTTGAAACGATAATAAAAGAACATTTAGTGCCCCAGAATAGTTTAAACTTCAACAAACAACACCAATTATTGCATGTAAATTATACAATAAAAATATAAGCCTTTTGTAAAGTATTTTTATACAACCCATATTTTAACCATTAGTTGAAGTTATACATAGAATAACATAAAAAGGACACATGTGCTAAATGTTTATTTACAAATAACGAACATTTTTTTTCAAACTACAATGAGCCTTATATTAATTTTTATATCATGACATTCGTGAAGTTATTCGTAAAAAAAATTACAGACAAAATTATAAATATTTAGATCACTTGTTTTCGGGTAATATATATTATGTCAAGAATATTAACATTAAAACAATAAAAAACATTTAAATAATATATTATTACGAGTTTAATATCTTATATTAATAACAGCACCCTTAAAATAACATATTCCTTGATATACACGATATTGGTTAGAACAAATAAAAAAAAAGTATATATATATATATATATATATATATATATATATATATAGAAAGAGAGATATTTATACATTGTGGACGCAATAACATTTTTTGTTTCTAGACTTCGCTTACGGCCAGAAGATATTCGATAACCTCGGAAAAGTAAGAGCGATAACGATGCTGGACAAAAGATTTATACTGTGGTTATCTAGAAGTTGCTTACCGCAAATGTGTTTCACACCTTTCGCTGGTCGCTCCACTATAGCACCGTTCTCATTTATTCCTAGAGACAGAAATCATAATTCATCATACATCCGATAATCCGTCAATGCAATTGGTCATTACGAAACACAAAAGCTCGTTTAATCTCTGAATTTAGGTGTTACGAGATGGATAAAATTTCGAGAGTACGTATCAAGTTACCAGAATATTGTAGAGTTGCGCCCAGAATAGAATCCATAATGCTACCGAATAATCCAGCTAAGCCCCCGACGACTACAATAGGCCACTGCGGTGCAGCTAGTTGCAGGACAGCCGTATCGACAGTGTTTAATACTGTGATATAGTAGGAAAGGCCAACTACCAAACCGCCAAGGAAGGAAAATAAGAGGCCTACCCATGATACACCGCCGTTCGTTCCTTGAACAACAAAATCAGATCTAGATCAAATTCGTGCACATTTGTGCAACAAATTAACGTTAGTGTCTCTTACCTCTTGGCACCCTTTTCCTCGTAGTAATGAGGAAAGGGTCACCAGTGCCGATCACCGTACCGAATTCTGAAGCCCACGTGTCGCCGTTGCAACACGCAAATGTTGCTGTAAGATAAATCGCAAGATGTCGAATTCAAATTTTTTCCATCCCAATATCCGTTGGCAAGCTCAAATATTGAAGACTAGAAAAAACTTTACACATCGAAGCAAAATTCGTGAATAGTTTTTGTTGAAGATGACAAGAGAACGACAACACTTTGTATCGTTCGACTAAGTCACACATCGTTATAAATTAAATCAGAGGGCAGTGAATCGCTCGTTCAGTTAGTGCATTTTTTCACATTTTAAATTAAATATTGATTATTTTACCCAATATCCCGATGGATAGCCATGAGCTTCGATAATCTTTGTCAAAGTCGATGGGTCGTTCTCCATATCCAACATCCAATAGATACAACACACCCAATTGTGCGGCCATCCCACCGTTACACAACACCTGCACCCAATTCCTCTGGCCACCTTCCTTAAACTCGGCTTCAAATTTTTTCTTTCGTGCTGACCGAAATTTTGTAGCTTTGGACGAAGTGATGAAAAACGTCATGATGGCCATCAAGTGAGCGAAATTCGAGAGCGTTAATATAAAACCCAGGAACAAACCTGTGTAAAAAAAAGAAATTGTATGAACAAAATTTTGTAATTTCTTAAGTTTATTCAATGATTGAGGCTCGTAAATTTTCAATCAAGTGACACCATAACGGTGTAACATCTATATAAAAAAAATGTATTGCCTTCAACATGAAGCTATGAAAATAAATAATTTGCATATTACACATTCTCAAAATATATAATCAGATTTTATAATATCAGGCAAAAATAAGAGTCAGCATTAGTTGTACAAGTGTAAACTAATATATCAATCGAAAGATAATAAATTACATAAATCATAAATACTTTTTGGTCTTTTATCATCTGAATTCTCTTCAATGACACTGTAAAATTAATGCAGATATAAACTACCAAACAATATAAGATAAATATCATGAGGAATTATGATCTGAAATAATGACAAATAATTGTCGTTGATGTTAATTACTGAACCAGAAAATATATACACAAGAGTGAAATTCAAAGCAGAAAAAGATAAGAAATAATTTTAATTAATTTTAATTCCATGATAGTCAGCATTTGTAGCTTTTTTGTTACATTTTGTAGAATTAATGTGTATGTGTGTGAACTTTATTCTATACTTTATTGTACTATAAAATTTTAGAATCGAAATTTTCATTACCGAAAAGTGCACCACTGATGTCTACAGATTTCCTACGGAAACCCCAAAAAGCGCACAAAAACGGTATCACAACCGCAGTCAACCATCTCCATGGTGAGATCACTGGATATCCTAAGATGAAAATACAATTTACCGAATATTGAAAATGTGAATATAGAAAATTTCTATTTAAATAAAATTGCAAGCCTGAAACGAGAATTCAAAAATAGAAATCATGGCATGATTTTTTTCTTTTTCTTTAAAATTCGATAGTTTATCCGATATTATGTGCCATCCGCTTTTTCCGAAAATATTCGCGGCTGTTTGGCGCAGCCATGACGTCATAAAGACATAGAGATAAAATTTCGGATTTAACATTCGGTCGCGTTGTTCGAGGCAGACTGTCAATTTGTAGCTGAATTTAAATAAATCAAGTTATACTGTATTTGACATGCTTAAGAAATCCTCTGCTGGAAAAATATTCAAATTTATATATTTAAAGATTATTATATATATAATTTTAACGATCATGCTCGCGTTCTGTTAACGCGATACATCACTCAATATCTATAAAAAATGATCTTTTTTACATATTTAATTTAATTAACTTGCCAACCAGAATGTATGAATATATGATTTTATCTTAAACATATACATGTGGTATTAAACATAACCATTGGATTCAAAATGCCATAGATTCATGTGCAGTTTATTTCAATTTAAAAGTCAAAGAGACATATTTATATTACATATTCAAAGTACGAAATCAGAATTTTATTCAATGTATAGTAAAAGAAATGTTCTTGCTCTATCAGACGGAACTTTGCACCTAAATTTAAAAAATTGGCGCTATGTATATTTATCACACCGCGCACACACATGCACGTTCATCAGGAGTTGTGCTCAGCGAATGTCATCGTATAATTTTATGATTATCTGTAACTGCGACGCTTCTACGAAAAATCTGTCTACGAAAAAATGTCTACGAAAAATCATCTATAAAAAATCACCTATAAAAAATCATCTATAAAAAAGCATTTATAAAAAATCTCAAATATCTTAAGTCAAAGACGATATATTTATTATTATTAAGTCGTTAACTTCTATGATTTATTCTTCCTTCCTTCAATATATGGCTCTGAGCTGATGGGAGTAGGTCCCGACATCATTCTTTTCGATAAAAAAGGTAAAAGAAAAACAAGGACAACATGACAGTGGGTTTTCCATACGTTGTCCTTGTTTTTCTTTTACCTTTTTTACCAAAAAATATGCGCATTTACAAGAACCACATCCAACCGCCACGGAAGCGAACACCAAACTTTTCTGTGATTTATATGTTCGTGACAACCTCGTTTACACCTCGTTTACATGTGGAAAGTCACCTTTACCGCTACTTTTATCGTACAGTGTGATGATAAACTTAATTAAATTATTCGTTATATCAAAAGCGTTATATAATAATATACACTCTAGAGACTCACGTTTTTAACTTCATCCCGAATTGAGAGAGAAATATATTCTAACCTAACAAAATTACTTCGATATATTTCAAGCTACATATTGTGCATATACAATACCTTCCGTAGAGTTCAAAGATTCTGGCGACAATATCGAGTAGGCCACATTCGCTATCCAAAAGATCATCGAAATTGGGATAGCACAAGCACTCACGAGCACCGGCATAAACACGTAAGAGCTCCGGTCTTCGCTATATTCGAAAGAAACCATGGCGAAGATCGTTAATTCGAATGTATACGGCTCATGAAAAATCGAAACAAAATATTGTTTTAGAAAGCGCAACGTTAAATATATATTCACTTCAGATGGCTTAGATCTATGCGATACAAAAGCGCGCGAATAACTAAACTATAAAGCTGCAACGTAACGTGTGTTAAAGGCAATGATGTCGCATCGATGCGCATGTGCGAGAATTGCACCGTCTCTGACATCACTGATCGAAGGTGCACCAAGAATGCATTTTCACGCTTTTTTTCGCTCGGACGGAGCGCCACAGCTGAAGTATAAGTGCAACGAGCGCCAAGATATGAGTTCAGAGTTTGGGAATACACTCGTATTGGACAAAACACGAGCAGAGATCCGTATACAATCGCCGTTTATTATTTCCTTACAAACATTTCTTCTTTTATTATTTCTGCTTTGTAACATAAAACAATAATATGACTCTTAGCGTAATTCTGTCTTGTCATGTTGCGTGCACTCAATTTTATTATACTTTACTCCATATGTGTCTATGCAATAGTAGGACACAAAAAGATTTTCGATGGAAATGGTGCAAGTCTTATGATAACGCCAAGAGGATTACACCGACAATATGTACAAAATGAACTTAATTAAATGCAATAACAATAAATGAAATATTGTATGAGGTTTGAGTAGTCAGTGTGTGACTACAGTCAGCCCCATATATTATATATACAACATATGAATATAATTACTAATGGTTACTAACGACGTTCGTTGCGCTATATTGATGCTGTCGTCGTACTGATTAATGTAAAGAATCATAATAAATTATAAATCTTTAGTTATAATCGCAACACGCGAAATGTTATCTTGTACATTAGGGCTGTCTAAATTAGCTTGTCGCAAGCGACGATCTTTTGCTTCCTTCCCTTTCTGTCTAACTCTTGTGTTCTGTTCACACTTCTCTGTTTAACTTTTGTACTGCCAAAAAAAAGGAAAAAAAAAACAATGACAAAGGAAAAGCGAGATGACTGCGATGCTTAATTAGACAGCTCTAATGTATGTCGTGAGCGATTCTATGGTTGCATGATTCTCAATATATATATATATATGTGTATATATATATATATATAATATATATCTCTAGAAAAATATTTCTATATGTTTACATATTAACAATAGTAAATATTAACAATAGCGTTGAGATGAATTTATGGATGAACGCAGTATTTAAATTAGAAATCACTTGTGGATTTTTGTCATTTATACTGATTTCTACTGCAAATTTTATACAGAAAGGAAACCTCGCGCAATGGAATTATAATTAATATCCAAGTAAATAATGAAATATAAATAACGTTATACTGAGCTTCTTTGACGATTGGAACAATCCAAAAGTTTAGCTTCGATTAGCGACGAAAAAAGTATAACACGATGTGGGCACATGTCTCATGAGACTAATAAGAATAAATTATCAATTATTGGGCAAGACGGATAAGTTTTACAAAATACATGTTATCAAAAGGTGATGTGTTCAAAAGATAAATCATTCAAGTAAATTGACAGTGTTGAAATAACGCGGAAAAGATAACGCGGGGTAACTTAAACGCGGCGCCTAGCAATGTTTTTACAATAAATTATGTGTTTATATATAATACAATCAAAAAACTGATGTATTTAAGTTGATGATATTTCAACATAATACGAATCCCGCGATCTTTTCCGATCAGACACGTTACGGACAGTAGATAAAATCACCTTATTGAATTGTACGAATTTCCCGATTCGTCCGTACATATTTTAATTTTATTTACGAACGTCTTGTAAAACGCAAATTTAGTTTACATTCCATTCTGCGTTACAGTCGGCATATCAGTAAATATTTATTCTCTTTCAGTATCTCTAGATATAAATATTTTATAATTGAAAGGAAATAAACTTACACTATGTACAAAAGTATTATATGAGAATTCAGACATATTAAAGATGGCTGCATTATCTTTACAACAGTCTCGAGATGTTCACTCTGAAGGGCAATGAATGCAGTTTTCTGAATGCTTATTCGAAGCTATCTGAAAGACTTGTCCTTGCGAATCACATTAGCAATACGAAAACATTCAAGTTTTCCGAATAAAAATGGGGAAACATCGCGAGTATAGTACGAGAGGGATTGTAAAATAAGGTCCTTACGTTAGCGGACTAAACCAAATCCTTTGTACTTGTCAGAACTCGTTTGAATCGACGAGTTTAAGCTTATACGGGATGTGTTCTTTCACAATCTCTTTCTTTATCTCTCTCTCTCTTTGAGCAGTATTTAAGGGAGTATTAGGCGCTTAAATTTAACTGAGATTTTATTGTAAATTTCATATATATATATATATAGAGAAATATAGAAATTTTTTTCTTTTTCCTTGTTTTCTTCAAAACTGTTACCGAAATGTTATCCTGCACTATTTCAATGTTTATATCCCCACGTAAATACCTTCCATACATTATTGAGAAATATGTATGCAGAGTATTCATCACAATCTCGACGAAAAATTATGAGTAAACAGTCGACAATTTCAAAGAATAAAGTAACTAGTTTTAACATATTATGATAGCGACTATAGTAGACTCCAGTCCATACTGCCTAAGAATCGTATGGTTATATATGACTCAATGGAAAATGAAATGGTAAACTTTTCTACAATTCTTACAAATACGTAGGTTCTCCGTTTAACTCGAGGGTTTCTGGAACTATATCTTCCGGATTTGCAGGTTCCGCAAATCCGCGCGCTACTAACTCGTCAGCGAGGGAAATTACCTGAAAATCACGTCAATCAATCAATGTGACGGAAGGAGAAGAAACAATCAGAGAAAAAGAGAAATGTGCAGAAACAAGTTTGTTACCTACCCCATATTTCGGGACATTATAATAAATATTCGTATAAACATTCGAATCAACATAACCTTCAACTTGGGCTTGACCAACAACCCCGAAGCAAATTTGAGCTATCACATGATAAGCTTCGTCCAACCACACACCTAGAATGCACGAACTGGGTAATATGGAACTGGGAATAAACGATCTCGTGTGCATAAAAAAATGTGTATTTCGGTAACACATAGTTACCATTTTTCGGCTGAATATGCGCTAAAAAGATTTCGATCGCTTGGAAAGGTAGACTCAGGTATTCTAGTCTGATGTCTCTTATTTGCGAGCTGCTAAACTCATAGTAACCACCGTGATCGAGCAGCCGCATTTTGTGCTTCTCTCCCGATGGGTCCGGTTTCTCCATCCTTACCCTGACCCATATGTCGAACCAATTTGCGACGTAAAACATGCCTCCTGAAACAATATGCAATGAAATATGTTGCAATATAAAGGTATGCCTGATCTTCGCGCAAAATTGCTCAAGGATCGAAATATTACATCACTTACTTGTTAGCACATTCGGCACTGACCATTCCATAGTGTTATACGCATATGTCATCTCCGCGTCTAAAAGTCGCAAGGAGGGGAACGTCGGATGTGTCGGAACTTGGACGAAAAGCCAGTTCGGCTTAACAATGTGTGACACGACAATGTCATTATTGACACCTTCCACCAAAAACATTTGCGACCATTGAGCTACCCAAGGCGCCTCCACAGCGATCACATCGGGCGTCGAGATCTCGGCTAGTGTCACCTCCGGGAACCTCTTCTCCGGGAATTTCTTTCTTATTAATTCAAGAGCAGTTTTGATCCCCTCCGCGTTGCCTTCTATCGAGCAGATCTTCTGATCAGTAAAGCCTGGATGATCGTTTACATATATCTGAACTTCCACCTTCGTACGGATACTGTGCAAGAAGCTACCGTGACGGCCGATCAATCTGCCCACCAGTTGTTGAGGTATAGCAAAGTAGTAAATAGTCTGCTCAACGTTGGTTTTTCTATATCCGTTAATGCTCCCACCTGAATAACAACACCACGTTAGTTAGTCCAACTCCTTGCAAATCGTGCAAAACGATAGAGTAGAGAAATATTTGATTTGATTTGATTTGATTTCCAGGTTGGGAGGTTCACGTCGATATCTCGGACCTGTTTCCGACGTATGTTTGTCGCATGAACATACCGGTTCACTTCTTCAGGGAGAAGAATAAATCTGAAATTGTTCCACGTTCACAAAACGTCGAGAACAAACGCGAGATGGACGCGGCACTCGATCGAATCGGAGCAGAAAGTCAAATCGAATAATATCTTAATAGCGATATCGATCTTTATCGAAGCACGCTTAACGATCTTTGCCGGTCGAAATGCGGAGAAACATGATAACCATCCCCCGATATACATAATTTTAATTGTACTGTACTCAACCCCAACACTCACCTTTCCCACTGTCTGTGCTTCCTTCCTCGCTCCTAGCTTCATCTATGATACTGCCTTCCAGCACTCCGGAAATCGGACTGTGATTCGCAGAGTCTCTTTCGTAGACCGTTTGTCCCGCGGTCGCGACGGTCTCTTCTTCAGAATGCTCCTTCTCGACCAATTGTTCGTTCGTTTCACAACCGAGTTCGACCGCGGTATCCTTCTGCTCGAACGACCCGGTCTCATTTTGCACGCTGCACCGTCCCTCTTCGGTGACGTCTTCGAATACCCTCGTGATGTCGTTGGCGAGCTCAAACTCAAAGGAGGACGTATTCCGTCTCTTAGCAATCGTCTCGAAGTAACTCGTGGTCGGATTGCTGCCTAGCTGTATGTCCGTCGTTGATTCAACTTCCGCACAAATCTGGCTGCTGCTGCTGCTGCTGCTGTCGCAGGACTGCGGTGGTAGTGACTTCCTGATCGGGATGTCCATACTCTCGCTAGCCTTCCTTGGGGCGCGAGCCGGCGCTTCCTGTTGCGTACAGCTGCTCGTCGAGGACTCGCCTGTCTCCTCGTTGGTAGAGTCATAGATATGCGTATTAGTCTCCTTCACGTAACTTGATATCATTTTGCCCTGGAAATTCAATTCCTCCATTCCACCAGGGTCAGCTCTGTGTATTCGACGACGTTTGTACCAAAAAAGACCGATGATCAAGGCCACCGCCGGGAACGTCCACTTTACTAGCTGCACATTCGTAGAGTACATGCTGCAAGTCCACTGTAGCTGCCGTTACCGGAAGTTTCTGTGTACTGCAAATCGACGTGCCAAGGATATCTAATCTCGAATTTTCAACGTACCTCTCAACGGTCGTTGCTATTCCGAAAAAAGTGTGACAATTGAAACAATTTAATCGTTTGCAAAATCTATCTTCAACATCTACGAGAAAGGCTACGATCAATTTTCTTCTATGGACGTTACAATATGACTGTTGTTACAGTTAATGCTACGTGAATAAATAACCACTTGCTGCTTATTATAGATTACATGCGGAACAGTGTAAGACAAGACGACACCTTGAGATGCCATCGAAGCATGTTTCTACATACGCGCGCAAGGGAAACACTCAACAATGTGAAATTTAAGGCCCACGAATTCAAGAGGAATGAATATCAACTCAAATAAAGATAAAACAGAGAATGTTGTATTAATCAAATGATAGTAACAAACAATAAAAATCTAATAATTTCAATAAAATACACGAGGCACGAGCGACGAGCGATAAGCAATTTAGTTAAGGTAAGGTTCGGCAGGAACAGTGGATTATACTAGCAGAAAAAGAAAAACATGATAAAGACGATGATGATAATAATAATAATAATAATAATAATAAGTAAATAGATCGCATGTTCGTTATTCAGTGCGACCGATCTGTATGCGAAAAATTGTAACAAAAATTCAACACACAATGGAAAACCTCGCCTCTCGGTAAGCGAGAGGCACATATCTTATATTGTGCATATATTTTAATCGCATGCAAAATAAATATGTCGAAATGATTAGGTACAAATGACATGCATATTTTATCGCACATACGTGACGCCGATCCCAGTTACCACAGAATGAAACTCGTGTCACGTATATAAAATTGAAATAAAATCGAAGTAAAACCGAACAGGTGCTGTGAACCAAGGTGTGTAGGGTTGCTTCAAAATATTTGCAAAAACGAAGCAGCACTCAAGCACACAAAGACCTTCACGACACTCGAGATATATACAACACAACAGCTACCGTATTTATCATGAAAATTCAGATAGGCGCAAGCCACGCCGAATAATTCGGCTGTCTATCTCCTGGATATTCTCTCTGATCTACCGATATTTCACATGTGTTTGAAAATTATACACGGCAAATCAGAAAGGGGAATGGAAAACAGCTGTCGGCTTTGCCGGACAGCGGATAAAAAACACAGCAGCGCCGGCGGCGCTCAAAAGCGCTCCAAGCTTTTTCGGGATTATGTCATCGAAATGCCGTGTCGTCGTTTTAACGTCGAGATTGTGACCACACAAAGCGCATGATGGTGCAACAATCTGCATGTGTATATTTATTAAAGACACAAACGATGATACCGTGGATTTAGATCGGATTGTTCCGGATTGCTATTACTCACAGCAACGTAATATCGGGCGATCCATGTCCGAATGTTTCCAGCTGGCTGCGATAATAAACGAATTGCTCCTCAAGGATTCGGATTATTCTTTGAAAATCGTCGAGGAACACCCAAACGCAGTCACTTGGCGAAGTTTCGAAGCGAGTTTAGGGCAACATACGTATATATAGGAAATTAATTGGTAGATTGCGCGAACGACCGCGTATATCGAAGTTCTCTCTCTCTCTGTTTCTCTGCGGCTGAAGCTATACTGTACTACTACCACGGCTCCGAGAATTTTCAACACGTGGTAATGCCGAGAAGACCAGTCCGACTGGAACCGCTCGCCGGTTACGCAGGCGCGGCCACGTAAAGTGGTATTCATACCGTGATCGAGATCTTCGATAAATTTACCGAGAGCTGCGACGCAAAAGTGGCGCGCGAGTGGACTTTCTATTCTAATTGCCTCGCGAGCCGAGAGCAACAAAATATCGCACCGGGAGAAATACCGGGAGAATTGGTCTTGGAGGATTTTTCTCATCGGAAAGATCTGGTTTACATTTTCGTCGGTCGGCTTCTCCGCGTTATCGCGACAATGAATTACTCTCAAGGACGACGTAGAACGTCACTGCACTTCTGGCTCGCTTAGAAAACAGTTATCACGCTCCAAGGTGGTCTAGCATGCTCGTATCACACACTTATCGGCCTACACGCGCAACAAAGTACATAACCGCAATGTTACAGCGAACTACACTGTCGCGATAAAATTGAATGAATATTCGTGACACGCTGTTGATAAGAAATCTAATTTTCCGTATACATTTGCACGGGGAAATCTCGAACGGCGACGAGGTGAGCGAGTACGACGTTAACAGTAGATAGTTTATTTACTTCAAGAAAACAATGCTAAGAGGCCCCCCCCCCCCTCCCTCGTGCAGCTTCAATTTTCCTGCGGAGTAAGATAACGCGATACCATTGATCATGGACCAGTTATATTACGGTATACTATACTCTGCTACACTACTATACTACAGTTACATACTATGAAGAATAGAAAAGAAGATGGTAAAAAGGAGGAGAAAAGAAAAGTGAAAATGATTGATGTTAAATCGATACCAAGAGGATAATTTATTTGCTTGGAGAATTTGCCCATATGCATTTTTCCTTTCTATTTTTCGTTCTAATTCTTCTGAATTGACAAAATTTTTCATTATTAAGTGTGTCGATATTTTCAATACCTTCCGATTTTCTCTCACTCCACCGTCCTCTCTATCACCCACTCTCAAGCATAGCGAAAATAGACCGAGTTCTACCTGATCCCATTGTTCTGATGACTGGACTAAAAAGGCACCGTACCGGTTACGGATTCGATTTACTTAAAATTTGTGAAAATTTCTTTCCATTATAAACGCGGGCCATTATCTTTCTGCTTTCGACTATGATATACTTTTCAGAAGAGAAACTGAACAAAATCGTCTAGAAATGAATTAATGAAAAACAATAATTTCTAGTTATATTTTGCATATTTGAAGACTAATATCGAAAAATAACTCATCTATGAATCTATAATTATTTATTATCTACTATTCGATACCAAAGTTATTTTTATATTACACGTGAGACACCGATGAAGTAACCAATTTCATTAAAACTCAAGCTAAAAACATCAGAAGAAAGGGCTAAACAAGAAAGATCATGATAACCTGATAAATCAATATATCCTCAAATTTATTCGATCCTAATTTCTTACACATTGTTTAAATATTAAGCGAAGAAGATATAAGCGTGTCACTAAATATAGTTTCAACGCAATTAGCTATTAAAAAAAATCTGACATAAATATTTCCTTGCAAAGAAGACACTGTTTTCTTCAGGCTGTTATATTCTTATCGCAATTATCTTGATTAATAACATTAGAAGCGAAAGAATACTCAACATTCCAGGAATTTTTTTTGTTTCAATAATCAACAAACGAATAGCTGTAAATTTATCGTGACAAACTCGTGCAATAAAAATTCAGGTTGTCAACGTCTATTTGATTATTTAGCTATCTATTGACTATTGAAGCAAAAGAAACATTTCTACATTACTTTACAACCGATAAAATCGGCTCCTCAACTGATAAAAATACCACTTCATGGGCACATCTTTTTGTCTCAATGTATACTTTGCATAAATAATAAGCGTGCATTTTATCATCAAATTGTTGCTAATGCAATGTTTAGCCATTTACATACTGTGTCACTTTTTTAGAAGATAAGACAGCCAAGAGGGAGTTGTGTTATCGGAAGGCATTATACGTATCACATACTGTTATCTCACATATAGGTTATCTTTCATTCATTGGCATTTATAATTATACAATTCGCGTGCATTTCGATATTTATTGGCATTTTATACTTAAGATTAGAAAGAATATTATAATATATAGAGATAAAAACGAAGTTGACTACAAAGGGCTTCTCTCCTCTCCATTCTGACTATCTCGAACCTTCTACTGTTGTAACCAAGTCTATTGTTAGACGAACATATGCGAAATTGGGATTCGCACGAGCGCAATTTTAGCTACGGAACGGAAACATGGGGGGGAAAGCTATGAGGAGGAACATGTAACACACACAATATCGGTGATGTGTAACGATTCAACAGTTACGAGAAGCAGCTGGGAGATAAATGTAATTGAAGGATAAACATATGAATGGCTTCACATGTGTATCGGGCATGGAGAGGGCACCTCGACACTACAATTGGTTAAAGACGAGGTGTGAGAAACACAGTTTTACGAGAGTAACCGTTCCCAGAATCCACGCCACTTATCGATCCCCGTGGACCTTCGGTTGCGCACTCGTATCTGTCCATCATTAATTACATCTTACTGTTATACTTTGTCGCGTATCTACCGAAAACTGTGAATAGTTAACAAAGGCGGCCGCCGCGTCGTCACGCCAAGCAATATACGAGGCGGCCGGATTATCGGACTTACCGATGTCGTTAACAATCCAGCAGGCTGCAATCGGCTCACAATCGATGGTACACTTCAGATGAATGCTACCGAGAGAATTCCCGTTATACCGAATGAACAACTTGCTGCAAAATTTCAAACGAACGTTCGCCACGTGATGCCGATGTTGATCCCTCGTGTATAATGATACAATATGGCAACTCGGCTTCTTGATCGCGGCATGTCTGCCTTCGAACTTGACGATGAGTAGAGCGGAAACAAACTGAGCGAAGGACGGCAGGCACATCGTCCAGATGGCGTTAGTCCCTCTCCAGATGGAAGGAATCTTCAACGATGTTCCACATTCTGCTGAGACTTGAGAATGGACTTGACGCCAAGCAACATCAACATCTCTCTATTCTATTTCGATGAAAAACTACAGCTTTTAAGGTTGATCGGAAGATTCATGATGTACTTTAAAATCATTGAATTTTCGCCCAAATAATGGACAATATTTAGTCTAATTTTATATTTCAAATTGTTTCAATTTCATCTTCAGACAAATGAACGACGTTTTACGTTCCGGGATAAACTGTGTATGATTTTCAATATAATTTTAAGCGCACCCTGCTGTGTGTATTTTTAACGCACCCTGCTGTGTGTATTTTCGTCGTCAAATGCAAATTTGCCAATTCTAATTGTCAAATTACAGTTTGATAACTTGGTCTCGCGTGTGAATTAAAAGTCTGCAGCTTTCGCGTGCCACCGTTAGATGGCGCAAGGTAAGCCGTACATAGTGAAAACGCCGTGAAAGTTTAGTTGCAAAAATCTCTATTACGAGTCGCCACTACGTCTATCTCGAGGAGTCGAAGAGTTGCAGTGCGGTTTAAGGAGGAAGTTTGTTGATACGGAGACCTTTCCTCTCCAAATAACACGGCTCAGCGACGGACGGACGATCTTTTACCTTCAGATAGTACGGTACAACGTTGATACAGAAGTTATTCCTGAAGGCAGGCAACACGAATCTTGCGCAGACGACTCGCAACGGGTCCAATAATCTCTAGTGTACCATTCAGAGGTATGTCTGCTTGATAAATCATCTTGTGCAGTTGTATTTTGCACAGTTACCACAGTTAAAAATAATTTCTCGTATTACCGAGAAACTACAATTGGTTGGCGCAATGTTTCTCCGTTCGATGTAAGATGTCGTATTAACGATACCGAGCTCTCTCTCTCTCTCTCTCTCTCTCTCTCTTTCTTCTTTACTATCTTAAGCGTGCACGCAGTGCTCACACCGCGCCAAATTATCCTACGCGATAATATTTACTTGTACCATCAGAATTATCAATATTTCTTGTTTCTTCTACTTTTTTTAACAGATTCATATATTTAATTATTTATCGCGTTAATGAGCTGACTTTTAATTTACATGCTCAAAGTCGATAATATATTTATCTTATATTTATTACATGACAAAATGGGACAAGTATAATATAAATATTCGCAAAATACCTTGTTGAAAAATATATGCGACACGTCATGTGTCACATATGTCATACCGACGATACTGTCCAAGTGTATACATAGTTATTTCCCATCCTATCTGACGCGTTGATAAAAATGGCAAAATAACAATTAAACAGAAAATGTGACACAATTAAACAGAATTAAACAGAAAATTACTAATTAATTAAACAGAGAATTAAACAGAAAATGTGACAGAAGAGCGATTTTAAGAAGAAAGAATAACAAAAGACACGTGCCGCGCGCGCGCGCGCGTCGTGTGCGTTCATTTAAATAACAAAACTGGAATCGACGAGGGAGAGAGCATTCGGCTTAACCGGGCGTTACGTTGGCCTGGGGAGAAGGCGAGGAGGGATGCACGGAAATATCTATTGGTCTAGGACTCGAAGACCTTCGAGTAATGCACGGGGTCGTTTGATCTGGATGCGGGGCGTCGGGACGCAAGGTTACAGCGGTCGTCGGGTCAGCAACACCACGGCCGTCCCTCCCGCTTTTCCCTTTCCACCCTGGCTGCCATCCCTCGTCCTCCCTCCCTGCCGCGGCAGCCCTCCGCAGCTCGATATATGTCTGCCCTTCCTTCCTAACCCTCCTTCCTCACTCGCCGACCGAGTGAGGAAGAGAGACCCCGAGCGAGCGGCGAGGGAACCGAGACGAGGAGGGAAAACGAGCTGCCGCCCTTCCCTATACGTTTCCTTCGCTCTCTGTTCTTTATTTGTCGTCGCACTGGCTAGTATCGGGGCGTGATATCTTGGCGAGTCTACCGAGATTCTTATTAACAGTTATCGCGATAAGGAATCTCGCTCGTTTGTTGTCTCGGCGCGTCACAGCTTTCCCCGAGCTTTCAGGTGAAAAGAAAGGGATCGCGTCACACACACACACACACACACACACACACACACACTCGATCACCGTAGTCGGCTGTCACGGTGTGACCGCTTCCGCTCAACGTCGATCTCGTGTGTCCATTGTCTTCGTATGAAATTATTCCTGAACATTCGACCCCCGTCGTCATCGGATGACCCTGAATTAAAAGTTTATCGCAATCGTCTCCGATTCGTACCTTTCCAAAAGGTAATCACGATTGACTCTCGCGCCGAGTAGGATAATTGGAATAATTAGCCTGCCCTATTCGTGATAATTATATTAAATGATCGTTGCTATGGGCAGCATGATGAAATGAAAACAGTGGTCGGCGTCACCCCTTCGATATCGTCGCATCATTTTTTTATAACGCCGCCCTTCCATCGCGATACTTCACCACCGCTTGCACAGACCAATGCGGTAGTCGAGTCGCTTGCAAACAGCTCGATGGAGGGGGTGTCTGGGTCACCCCCTTTCACGTTAGTCTGTCTGTCTGTCTGTCTGTCTGGCTGGCTGACTGGCTGGCTGGCTGGCTGGCTGGCTGGCTGGCTGGCTGGCTACTTTCCTGGGGTTCGCAACCCCTATTTGCCAAACCTGCTGTTATACCAACCATGACACTGAAACGCACCGATTGTTTATGCACACCAAGTCTCGCCTGCGATCGCTTCATATTTCTTGCCTCATTAACCAGCTCACTTCGTTCGCAAATTAATTGAATCTTCCCCGCGCCGTTCTTCTTCTTTTTCTTCTCGTTAAGGGAGGAAGGGAGGATGACTTCCGACATTGACACGATTCACGTTGATTTCGAATAACAAGATTTCGAGTATCGCGTATCGCACTTTGCTGCCGACGATTCTTTCACGTGTCGTAATATATAAGTATCTCCGTTATACGTTTAGCAATCATTAATCGCCACCTGAGAACGAAAGGGAAATCCGTGAAAAGTGGTCGCTTTCGTGCCGATCATTTCGCGCGCGCGCGCGCGCGCTCTTTCTCTCTAATAATATCTATTAATTTTAATTAGCGGAGAAAGTGCGAAACGCAGCAACTCCGAGACGTTACGCTGCGGAGCATCGCGATGGCATTATATCCCGATTACCGATCTCTTAGTCGCGTGACATCATACATCTACGGCGATAAACACGCGAACATGGTTGCGTTGCTCGCTCGCCCGTAATTGCTCGTTGACTTGATGGAATAACGCGTGTTTTCAAACTCGTCTATC